GTCAAGCTGTCCCTGATGAGGCACAACAACACTGGTCATTGTGGAGGTTTTTGAGGCGCCTGGAAAACCACCTGGTGGGAGCTAGGTTAAGGTGCCAACCGTGAGACAGAGCCGCACAGCAAAAGTCATTGTCTCCTCAAAAACCACTTGGTGGGAGCTAGGTTGTAGGATGGTGTGATCTCTGGAGTCTTGATCCTGTCCATCCATGGTCATTCACCCAACCCTGTATCCTGAAGTTGTAATCTCTGCTAGCGTGCGTGCATGTCAGGGGAGTGTGATGTATCAGACCAGACCATACTAACCAATCTGAGGCCCTGGAACATCCTTCACAATATCTGAATGCCTGCACTGTGCGCACAGCGTGACCTGCGCTGCGAAAACAAATCACAATGACACGTCATTCTCATGCCTCCTGGGCAGCAGCGGGTGTGACAGCAAAGCTCTCAATCTGCCCAAGCTCGATCTGCCCAAGCTCTTATCATTCTAATGATGCACATGCCCTCAAGGGCGCAAGATGCCTTAAAACACAAAACTACTCAGGATGATAATTGTTTGTCGATGTAGGTACATGTACAGTGGTCACAATATGTTTCAGATCCCATGCCTATGGTACTGTACAGTGTACATGTTATGAGTCATAACAGAACACCCAGAAGTTGAGGTGTCACCTCACCTGCCCAGCCTTTTCTTCCAATGCCACCACTGCCATTAGCATATTGAAGCGTGGAGGGGAGGATGGAGGGGAGCATGGAGGGGAGCATGGAGGGGAGCATGGAGGGGAGCGTGGAGGGGAGCGTGGAGGGAAAGGCAGAGGGATGCACCACAGAAATGAGAACAATGGAAGCAGCGGAGCAGCCATGCCATGACCATGCCAGACATTCTGAATCGACACTGCTCGCACATCCATGTCAGACTGGCATGTCTATGAGGTACGTTGTGAAGCAATTTCTGAGTCGCCTAAAAAACCTGCTCGCACATCCGTTCGAGCGTGGCATGTCAGGCATTGTGAAGCACTATTGACGGTGGCCTGCTGGCTGGGAGCGAGCGCGTGCCACTCTTGAAGTTGATGGGAAGATCAAGGGGGCAGTGGTGCGGGGAGGGAGCAGGGATGATAGTTGGATTGGTTGAGAAGAGAGAGTGGGCCCCAAGCGACATGAGCTGATCGCCTTGCTGCCGGTGACGTGCCGGGAGCGCGTACCCCTCTGAGAGTGATCTTAATGGCGTTTAAAATGGCAATTTCTTAATGGCGTTTGAAATGGAAATTTCTCAATGGCGTTTGAAATGGCAATTTCTTAATGGCGTTTGAAATGGCAATTTCTTAATGGCGTTTGAAATTGCCCGAAGGCCACACTGAGGATGATGAGTGGATAAGGGGGCGATGAACGGGGGGAGGATGATTGTTTGGGTTGTCTGAGGGAAGAGTGCGAGTGTGTTAGAAGAGAGCGTGAATCTGTGCGCAGAGAGTGTGAGTCTATGTGACAATGACAAGTTCTGGAAATAAAATAAGTAGCGTCGAGGCAAAAAAGCTGGAGCAGAAATGAAGGAGCAAGTTGCCTGTCGCACTCAACTGGACTCGACTGCACGGAAGCTCTCACAGAACTAGACTGCAGTGTACCCTACCTTGCACTGGACTGTGCCTCAGTGCACCGCACTACACCACAATATATCTACCGTGCTCAGGTGTGAGGCGCCAGCCCATGCTGCCCAGGTGGCTTGTGGCATGTGCTGCTGTCTTCCATCTTTTGTGCTCTACCTCGAACCTAACTGTACCGCAGTGCACCGCACTAAAACGCAAGCGTATTTACCATGCTCTGGTGTGAGGCGCCAGCCCATGCTGCCCAGGTGGCTTGTGGCGTGTGCTGCTGTCTTGCATCTAAGAGAGGTGGGGGCGGGGGATTGGGGGGGGGGGGGGGGGGGGGGGGGTAACATTATGGTTAGTGGATGGGAAGATGGGTATGGGGGAGATGGGTATGGGGGAGATGGGTATGGGGGAGATGGGTATGGGATGGTCATGATCCATGAGTGTGAGTGAGGAGGGTTGTGAGTAAGGAGGCTCACAGAGGTGTTTCAGCAACGTACCCAGGGATGGGAATGGCGCCCTTGCACATGATGTAATTCACTGCAACCTGCAAGCCAGCAACACAACACCACACAGACATTTTTGAGTCGACTCAAAAAAGAACACCACACAGACATTTTTGAGTCGACTCAAAACAGAACACCACACAGACATTGCTTCAAACAGTAAATCGTTTCCACGTGAAAGCCATGGCACCCTAGAGTGTTCAATTGGCGCCCCTTTGATGATGAAGTGTTTGAGTCACTCTTGAGACCCCACTCCAATATAATCCACAGCCACGTGAAGGGGAATGGTTTTTTGAGAATTCTCAAAAAACACACACTGCAGCATATCTCCCCCCGAAGATGACTCGAATATAATCCACAGCCACGTGTAGCGGAATGGGAGGAACGGGTGTGAGGAGGAAAAGGCATCAATGAGAAGACCCACGGAGGGAACTTGGGGGCCGAATCTTGGGTGTGTATGGTGCGGCGGCACCCCAAGAGATGACTCTCACATGACGTAGATGACTCTCACATGACGTAGATGACTCTCACATGACGTAGATGACTCTCACATGACGTAGATGACTCTCACATGACGTAGATGACTCTCACATGACGTAGATGACTCTCACATGACGTAGATGACTCTCACATGACGTAGATGACTCTCACATGACGTAGATGACTCTCACATGACGTAGATGACTCTCACATGACGTAGATGACTCTCACATGACGTAGATGACTCTCACATGACGTAGATGACTCTCACATGACGTAGATGACTCTCACATGACGTAGATGACTCTCACATGACGTAGATGACTCTCACATGACGTAGATGACTCTCACATGACGTAGATGACTCTCACATGACGTAGATGACTCTCACATGACGTAGATGACTCTCACATGACGTAGATGACTCTCACATGACGTAGATGACTCTCACATGACGTAGATGACTCTCACATGACGTAGATGACTCTCACATGACGTAGATGACTCTCACATGACGTAGATGACTCTCACATGACGTAGATGACTCTCACATGACGTAGATGACTCTCACATGACGTAGATGACTCTCACATGACGTAGATGACTCTCACATGACGTAGATGACTCTCACATGACGTAGATGACTCTCACATGACGTAGATGACTCTCACATGACGTAGATGACTCTCACATGACGTAGATGACTCTCACATGACGTAGATGACTCTCACATGACGTAGATGACTCTCACATGACGTAGATGACTCTCACATGACGTAGATGACTCTCACATGACGTAGATGACTCTCAAATGACGTAGATGACTCTCAAATGATGTCTATGAAGGGGAATTGCGAAGATGGGGCAGCCATCCCTCCCACATGCATCCCTCCCACATGCATCCCTCCCACATGCATCCCTCCCACATGCATCCTGGTTTCTATCAATCACTCGCTTGCCAACCCAGCATACCAATCACTCGCTTGCCAACCCAGCATACCAATCACTCGCTTGCCAACCCAGCATATCAATCACTCGCTTGCCAACCCAGCATAGCAATCACTCGCTTGCCAACCCAGCATACCAATCACTCGCTTGCCAACCCAGCATATCAATCACTCGCTTGCCAACCCAGCACACCAATCACTCGCTTGCCAACCCAGCATACCAATCACTCGCTTGCCAACCCAGCATATCAATCACTCGCTTGCCAACCCAGCATATCAATCACTCGCTTGCCAACCCAGCATACCAATCACTCGCTTGCCAACCCTGCATATCAATCACTCGCTTGCCAACCCAGCATACCAATCACTCGCTTGCCAACCCAGCATATCAATCACTCGCTTGCCAACCCAGCATACCAATCACTCGCTTGCCAACCCAGAATATCAATCACTCGCTTGCCAACCCTGCATATCAATCACTCGCTTGCCAACCCAGCATACCAATCACTCGCTTGCCAACCCAGCATACCAATAACTCGCTTGCCAACCCAGCATATCAATCACTCGCTTGCCAACCCAGCATACCAATCACTCGCTTGCCAACCCAGCATATCAATCACTCGCTTGCCAACCCAGCATACCAATCACTCGCTTGCCAACCCAGCATATCAATCACTCGCTTGCCAACCCAGCATATCAATCACTCGCTTGCCAACCCAGCATACCAATCACTCGCTTGCCAACCCAGCATATCAATCACTCGCTTGCCAACCCAGCATACCAATCACTCGCTTGCCAACCCAGCATATCAATCACTCGCTTGCCAACCCAGCATATCAATCACTCGCTTGCCAACCCAGCATACCAATCACTCGCTTGCCAACCCAGAATATCAATCACTCGCTTGCCAACCCAGCATATCAATCACTCGCTTGCCAACCCAGCATATCAATCACTCGCTTGCCAACCCAGCATACCAATCACTCGCTTGCCAACCCAGCATACCAATCACTAGCTTGCCAACCCAGCATACCAATCACTCGCTTGCCAACCCAGCATACCAATCACTCGCTTGCCAACCCAGCATACCAATCACTCGCTTGCCAACCCAGCATACCAATCACTCGCTTGCCAACCCAGCATATCAATCACTCGCTTGCCAACCCAGCATACCAATCACTCGCTTGCCAACCCAGCATACCAATCACTAGCTTGCCAACCCAGCATACCAATCACTCGCTTGCCAACCCAGCATACCAATCACTAGCTTGCCAACCCAGCATACCAATCACTCGCTTGCCAACCCAGCATACCAATCACTCGCTTGCCAACCCAGCATACCAATCACTCGCTTGCCAACCCAGCATACCAATCACTCGCTTGCCAACCCAGCATACCAATCACTCGCTTGCCAACCCAGCATACCAATCACTCGCTTGCCAACCCAGCATACCAATCACTCGCTTGCCAACCCAGCATACCAATCAC